TCGCTAGTTTAGTTTGCCGTTTAGAGAAAGGATGAATTTTATTCGGTTTAGCAATTAAAAACATATAATCATATCGTATTTATAAAATGCCAACACACAAAATCATATTGTTTTCACAATCCCAGCCTTGGGTTTAGTTCTAAGATATTCTTAAAATTTCGCAAATTGCAGCCTCAATATTCTTATAAAATATATTCTCTATCACAGAACGGTTTGATATCGCAAGATGCTTTTGAATATTTTTCGTTGTGTAGCTTTTTAACAAATGCAAATCTTAAATCAAGCCTTCACGGGGGTGCGCAGACCATAACAAGTTATAACACAACAGGGAAGACATTCTATTAATTCGTTCAGTATCAAAGGTCACAAACAATTCTTATTGGAAAAGCATTGTGTATTGCAAAACACTTGTAGTGCAACATGGTGAAGTATCCCAGGCTGCTGCAGTCACGTTAAAGTCACGTGCATGAAAGTGCATTACAACGACCCAGACCTCAAACTTAGTTCAGCATGTTTTGAAAAAAAAATGGAACATCAGATCATTGTGTAACAAAGTGAACCATTCTAACCATGAGAAAGGTTATAAATATAGAAATCTTGATCATAAAAGTATTAGTAATACATCATAGTTTTCTTAGTTGAGTAGTTTTGTTAATATAAATCGAAAGACCATGTCAAGAACTTGTGACTATGAAGCGATTTCGTGTAGAAGATTGTCTAAAGGATTGTTATATAATAACCCAAATTATTCTCGCATTAATAAATATATTCCATGTTGCCGTGCGTCTGTTGAGTATTAGTATAAATCTACTAGCATTCGATCACGAATGCTGTTTTCCGATTGGCTATGCTACTTACTATCTATTCTGTGATAGATAGTGAGTAGCGCAGTAGTGTACTCTTGTTAACAAAATGAGAGTCGCTTCTTGGCATTTTAGAAGTGTGTATGAAGAAGATTTAGATGAAGTTTTGAACAACTGGTAGATTTATACTGAAACAATTAGATTACTCGCTCTCAATTTCTATCCGTGATAGAAATCTCGAGCTCATAGTCTAATTGTTTAATAGATCACAGATGGCGTCAAAATGTGGTAAGATCAAAAAAGTGGCCCACAAGGTGATAGCGTAGCTGAGTGTGTCACTGATGGTTTACCTCATTTTGACGTCATCTGTGATCTATTACTGAACAGACACATTGATATTGATACAATGATCTTATATTTTAAGAGGGGGCACTACGACCTACTAGCAACCAGAAAATCACTCAAAACCGAAAGAAAACCAAAAATAACGCTATAAAAATGGCTCAAAATCGAAAGACTGCCTACTGTTAATGATTAAAAGTGCAAATGTACAAATGTAAATCCACCATGTTTGTTATAGCAACAAAAGACTTACACTTTTCCTTGTCTGAGAGATCAACTCATCAGTTTCATTTGAAATCATTTCCAGACCTTCTTAGCTTAGTATTACTTGTAACCCCACGACTGCAAGAAACCTCACTGTCCGGGGAGGGGTACTCCCTTATATGGGCTATATAGGTATGTGCGGCTCTAAAGGGTATGCTGTTTTGGTCATAAAATAGGGTATCGATTTTGGCCCTTTATATAGGATGTGGTTTTTGCACTCTTATGTTTTCACTCTTATGTTTTCTACTTTTTCATCATTATCGATAAAACCACCAACAGAAAGCCCATCATAAATTATGTTTGGAGCAACTGTGCTAGCTGCAACGGTCATAAATAGGATATCAAATTTTGGTCAGGTCATAAATATATTAATAGGATACGGAAAATTGCAGATTTTGGTCATAAATAAGGTGAGGGGTTTAGGAAGCAGGCCGTGCACCCCTACCCAATTTTTCTGGGAGTACCCCCTTCCCATCTGGGCCTCGTTATTAACAAACTCTTCCACTTCGAGATATAGAGAATACCGGTATATATTTCTTAGGTATAGAGAAAGTGATTGTGATATTGAAATCGCATTTTTGTCTAATTCGTTCAGAACACATGAATGTAGGTTGTTTATCCTCCTAGTCGATTAGTCCCTAGCCACTTAGCCATTAAATAAAACTTGCATGCTTCAACGTACATCATCAACAGAGCTTTAATTGTGGAGATTTCTCACCTAATCGAGTTCGCCCTTAGCATTCACTGTTAAAGAACAGGAAATAGTCAGTGTTTTCAACTTCTGCATGGTGAGGAGCTGACCGCCTTAGGGCTAATCGAGCAAAAAGACCATATTTGGTGGCAACACAGGACTCACTTGAACAATCAATTATTATTTATTTATTATATAAACACCAGTGAAATACCAGGATTTTTCCTTTTAATAAAAAGGCATATCTTCATCGCATGCAGTGAAGATACTATCTTAATTTTATCTTTCACACTCTGAAGATATCATTCCTTTTTGATAACATTTTTCTTTTGTCCCTTTAACTACACGTAAATTTGTTGATGTATGATCGAAACATCTTCGGATCTTCTTCGATCGTCTTCGGTAATCTTCGGAAAATTTTCGGAAATGTTCGGGAAAGTGTTCGGAAGCGTTCGTCTGGCCTTCGGAACAATTTTGAAAAACGTCGGGAATCTTCGGAAATCTTCAGAAAATCGTCAAAAACGTCAGTATGTTTATACAATAAACAGAATATTACATACTCGCTTGTGGATACGAATTTTATCTTCTCGTGTTCACCTTAATATCTAACTCGTTCGCTGCGCTCACTCGTGAGATACCGAGTTGAACACTCAAAGATTAAACTCGTATCCACGCGCGGGCACTTACACACGGATTCAGTTGACACAGGTGAAATGAAGACGTCTGGGAACAAAGAAAGGTAGAATCAAAACCAAAAACCCGCTTTGCTTATGGCGGCACCAGAAAACCGAAACTGAACCCAATGCCAAAAAGAACATAAAACCGAAAACTGGGACAGATATCAGAACCAAAAGCGTGATATTTTTAAAAGGAAAATCGATCGAAATCAAAGGCTCTCGGTCTTGGGCTGCCTCGGGTCATTTGTTTCACAGTGCAAAGAAACTGTACTCACCTTCACCCAACGCCTTGCGTCAGAATGGCGCATTACTGATCATTAACCCTCAGAGAAACTGCACTGCCAAACCAGAAGTGGCGCGTATGCCAACATAACGCTAAATAAAGTAAATACGAGCGCACTTTCACCTCTGGTATTTAAACGAATGCAATTTGATCTGGCTCGATCTGGCCCGATTTGAACCTTAAAGTGACTATTTAATTTTGTGAGCTATACCTGTTTGCTTATTCTCGGAAAGTGTGCTTTACATGTTAGTTTTTAATCGACTCATTTTGATCCGTAGATTTTTTTTATTTCAGGATTGCATTTTAGCTTTTCAGGACTTTTACTGAATAGCATTAACGACGCTTTATCAAAATCGGTAATGCGGAGAGAGCCTTGTTTGATTAACCCATCAGAATGATGAGAAGTGAGTGCTTTCAAAGAGGTCCACTGGGTCCATATGATTTCCTTTGCGTGTGCTACAAACCAACCAAAAGCCGAACGTTAAACGATTCGTAGTTATCCTTCGCGACAGACAATGCGTCCTCTAGTATAAAAACGGCCATTGCTTTCTTCTCGTTCATTTGTTGTTCTGTTTGGGTTCATGCGTAATCTTTTCAAGTTCATACGAAAGTCGCTCTAACAACTTTGCTATTGAATATCTCGACAAGGCTGCAGAATTAAGGGAGCTTAGTCACGGTATTTTGAAATATTTTGACAACGTACAAAACTACCTTTACATTGAAGGAAGCCTGACAATAATGGTTTACTAAGTGTTTTGCACTTCGTTGAGAGTTTTGTTTATTTTTAGACATTATGTTTGTTTTCTTAGTGATAAAACCGAACACGCGAGATTCCCGCCATTTTTGCTTTAGTAGCCAATCGGATTATGGCTCTCGTTCGTGGATTGGTACGAGTAGGATATCAAGAGATCAGTAGAAAGTAATCCTTTTATCGAAAACAGTGTGTCTGTGCTCTTTGTACAAAAGTAGGAAAATAGCGCGTCTTAAACGGGATTACGCCTTACAGAATTGTGAGTATATCGACAATGTGTTGGAGAATGTTTTTTGCTGTTTCGTTTTTTAGGTTAGATCCGATATTTTAGAATTGCTATAGTCAACCCACATGTATACCTTTGCTTTCAGTTGACTAGCTAGCTTGTGCTGATTAAACTAGTTCAAAACAACTGGTAGATCCCGTGGACTTTATTTTCCTGGTGTGTCTTCAATTCGAGTAGTACCCTGATCCGTGGTGCGAAACACTAAGATAGAGCAACACCATGGAGATAATGATAAACCATAAAGGAACAAGGACGGTTAAGGATGGAGAAGATTAACACGGATTACTAAAGACGAACTTGAAAGATTTTGGCTAAACTTTTCAAGATGCCAAAACCGTGACGTAGCTCCTTGAACGTAACTACACCGATCGTCTTTTGATCACGATCACTAAGATTCTCCAGTATTGTTGAATTGTGTTTAGAATCAACACCCAATCATACTGCAATGCAAAAAAAAGTAGGTAACGAACGTTTTCTTATTTCTTGCAGTTTCCCTTCTGGCTGTGGGGGCAGCTTCTCGCGATCGTGAGTACAAAATAATGAAATTTTCCATCACGGGCGTTATTAGGGTCGTCACGCAACGCTTCTCGTGACGAACCTAATAACGACTGCGAAGAAGACTACATGCATGTTTGTTTGCTTTTTTTATTTGTGTATGTATTTGCAGGGTAGTAAGCTTATCCGATGTCAGTTGTTAAATCCCAAACCAACGTTATCTCAAGAAATGCTTCAAAAAGCTGGTTTATTTTAACGGAGCACGGAGCACGCCCGGGGGGGTAGGTACTCCCCCCAAAAAAAATGGGTTGGGGGTGTGCGGTCCGCTTTCCAAAACCCTTACCCTATTTAAGACCAAAATCTGTGATTTTCCCTACCTTATTCAAGACCTGAGTCTTTAAAAATACCCCGTTTCAGACCTGTCTTATAATTAGTTACTTAGTTCAGACTGCGTTGTAAAGGGCTTTTGTTAATGGTCTTATTGATAATGATGTAAAAGTAGCTTCTTCAAAAACATACCGAATTCAAGACTAGAGTGCAAACACCATACCCTATTTGAGACCAAAACGCCCAGAATCGAAACTTTATTGACCAAAACGGCTAAAAAAGCCATACCCTTGGGCCCGCACATACCTATACAGCCCACACAACCTAAGCGGTTATGAAATTAAAGCCTGAAAAAAATTCAGGCCTGAACGGGATTCGAACCTATGACCAATGCCGGTGATACTGGTGCAATGCTCTGCCAACTGAGCTATCAGGCTAACTGGGAGCTGGGCATATCTACGGGCATATTACGAACTCACAAAGTGACCCCGTTTCTCGAAAGCCCCGAAAACTTTTCGGGCCCGGAAAGCCATAGCAAAGTCTCGAACCTTGCGATTACAGAGCTGTTTATTTACGTATTCTTAATATGAACAGAGGTTCCCTTTATACAAGAAGTTTCAAGCATATACAATTCTCCGTTTTTAGATACGGATGAACTAAAAATGGCTTAGTTTACGGGCCCGAAAAGTTTCCGGGGCTTTCGAGAAAAGGGCCCAGCTCCCAGTTGGCCTGATAACTCATTTGGTAGAGCACTGCACCGGTATCGTAGAGGTTATGGGTTCGTGTCCCGTTCAAGCCTGAATTTTTTTCACTGCTTAAGTTGTGTGTATAACATGATCAATAATGTCTTCATATAGTACAATTGTTGTCTTCCACTTCGTGTAAAACAATCTGATTTATTCAGCGCTCTATTTTATGACTTATCTTATAGCATGTGTTCCCCCCGGAGACTTCCTCTATGGATCAAGTGGATTCTTCTCAAGTCCCAATTTCCCAAGCAACTTCCCTATAAACAGTGATTGCACCTGGGACATCACAGTACCTGCTGGGCGAATCATTAAAGTCACCTTCCTCAGCTTCGCTTTGGATCCATCTCAAAA